TCCTTCTTGGCGACTGCCCTGTGACTCTGGAACTTCTTTCTTCCCCGGGAAGCCAGAATGGCCCCCTCCCTGCTATCCTTCCAGCAGCAGACTAAAACCTTTTTATTCAAACAGGCTTTTAAAGAAGAAGGTTTTTAAAATCAAGTTAGGAGGTGCTGTGATTTTTGGTTTTGAATATGTTTTTATGGATTTAAACAGTTTTTTTAAAAAAATATATACCATTTATATTTTATTTTGTTTTAATGTTTGTATATTTGTAAATTTTAAATTGAGTTGAAATGCTTTTAATGTATGGCACTTTGAGTCTCCTTGTGGAGAGAAATCGTGGGGCATAAATAAACAACAACAACAACAACAACAACAGTATATGGCCTCTAGACACATCTACATTCCAAACTTTACATAGTTCCCTCATGAAGCAATGCTGGGAGACAGCGAATACACTGGGTGCAGCAAAATGTGAAATGGACTTGATAGGAGAATTGTAGAAGACTTTGAGTCATAAGGCTGACATGGGTAGGGTATTGACGGGAGAGAGGGGGAAGAAGGGAAGAGAAAGACTGGACCATTGCTGTCTAAATGAGGCTAGCAGCATTTCTATCTACTTTCTCCAGCTTTGACACTGATGTGAGCTTGGCTGACTATTTTGAAAGATGTGCAGCTGGCATGACTAGTGTCCCTGACCACTTGGTCTCTCTGCTTTAATTTACAGAGCACTTTGAAATCCGTCAAGCTGAAAGCTGCTTTATAAATGTAACAAGGTGCAATGATTGACAACGTGAAATGTCAGGTGGCATAACCCATTAAACTTTCCAGTAAAATAGTTCTACACAGTCTGTGCTGGAAGATGTGGAGAGGGCTCCCTGGAGCATATAATTGGTATTGACCATAATGACCAAGATCCGGGAATTAGTTGTATTCCGCAGCATCATACTCAGCTTATGGGCATAAACAGCCAGAACAGTGTGTCCATTGAATTAAATAAGAGTTTCTCATTCCATTAAGTAGAGAGCTGGTGAAACCTATATTATTGAGTAAATTCAAATTCAATACTTAAGCTTATTTGCCCCTCAACCCCAGAAATAACGAGACAGACAACAATGATATGGATTCATATTGGGCAACTTTTATTGAATGTTACCTATTTAAGTTCAACTGAACTAAACTATGTGTCTAGGAACTTGGTG